TTGACAGTCACCATATTCAACGGATCACCCGGTTTTAGATGGACACAAGCCACAGAGAAGCATTAAAAGGGGTGATCAGGTGTATTTTCTTTCATTTCTTCTATTTTTCTCAATTCAAGTTTTTTTTATGCTGGAAAATAAAAGACTGTTTAGTTCAATGGTTTGCAAAAATGTAAATCAAGAAATTTTCCTGATTTTCATTTTGAATCCCTTTACCTCATGCAGGAAGCTAAGAGGTTTTTAAAAATGAGATCAGGACATTCATTGTACTAACAGTACCTTGCTACACTCTCTCCAAAATCACATGGGGGGTTGTGCACACTTTGAGCACTTTTCCAAGAACCGGTTACGCCTCTATTTGACACTATGGTAATCTACAACTGGACACCCCTTATGCTCCGTGACCACAGTTTGATAGGGGTCACCTCATCATATACTGCTTACCCTGCATTATTGAACGCTGCCCTACAAAAAAGCAATTTTCTCCGCAGACATCTACACGTATGAGAAATTACCTGTACAGCTGTGATGGTGGGACTGTGCCAATATTGCTGACATCGGCACATTTGTCGCTCTGGTACTCATCCTTAACAGTTACAGTATCTCGTTTTTCATTTTCGGATGAGACGTTTTACAACTCGCGACATTTTCTCCAGCTTTATGACAATTTGTTCATATTCTCTCAATATATAATACTTTAATAAATGGATCTTTATCAAATTTGTAGCAATTTTTATTAAGCTGTAACCAGGTTCTGTGCATTGTCTCATATCATTGCCCATCCACAAAATTAAGCTGTGAGCCCTCGTCTATAACATATCCAGTTCTGTGGATATATGTAAGTATGTAGAATCAAGTTCGTTACGCCAAAAATTGCAGCATACAGTCATGTGTTACTGTTAGGGTTTGTGGTGACAAAACGTTTACCAGACATCATTCAAAGTCACCAACATGTTACAGTGCAAACATGTCCCGGGTAATGTAATGTGCATTTAAAGATGTGTATTACGTAGAATCAAGTTCGTTGCACCAAAATTGCAGCATGCATGCACTGGGGTTTGCAGTGACAAAACCAGGCATCAATCAATCAAAGTCACATGAATGGGCATCAACATGTTACAGTGCAAACATGTCCGGGGTAATGTAATGTGCATTCAAAGATGAGGCACGGCTGTCCTGGTCATTTGACATTGCCGGGTCAGCGGTGACATGGAGAGTGACCCACATCCAGGTGATCAGTCACACCGTGTCATGTGTTAATGGTCCGGAGTTGTCACTGCTTTGGGGTCATAAACCTACGACAGGCAAACAGACACAGTGGTCTCGAGCTTAAGTTATCTATCTAGGTTATTGTGATTATTATTTTCAAAAGGTTTACAAAAGGATAGTTTTAAGCTAGGTACGTTAATGGGTTCAATGAAGATTTTTTAATGGCCTTTTCTGTGCAAAAGTCAAGCTGAGAAAAACCTTGTAAAAATCCATTGGTAACACTTTGAGGTAATTTAAAATAAAACTGGTTCATCTTGACTTAAGTGACATTCTGTTCAGTCTCAAAAAAATCAACAAACAAAGAAATAAATTTGTCTGGGAGCAAAGACAACTTGCATAGTTTCATCACGATTTACCCTCCAACCCTTATTCTCAACCACAGCTCTAATGTAAAGCTCAGGGGTTTGATAAATGATGAGTTGATCTCATGACATTGTGGCAACCTCACAACCTCATCATCAAGACCTCATCACTGCCGCGGGGGGAAGCGAAGGGAACGTTAATGATCCGATAAGGTCGTACGTCAGTGACAAATGCACTCCCAGGTCCATTATCACATTATATCATCACACAATACTCTCCAAGCAGAGGTTGTGGGGGAATGATCGTTAGCTTTTTATATATGGCCGTTTTTTTTGTCTGGCTAATGGATACTGCCTGGCCAATTTGATACTGTATTTTTGCTACCAAAAGGGATCTGCTTGGAGATTATGACATATGCACTCACAGGTCCATTTTTCACATTATATAATCACACACTACTATTGCACTCACACGTGCACAGAAGTGAACTACAATGTTTATATTATAGCTAAGTGTCTTAAACACAGGCTGAGACCTCTCAGGGGGTATTATCTCTTTGTCTGATTGTCATTAAACTTGTAAACTGCAAAGACAATTGCATGCATTATGCAGATGATTGTTTTAGTACTTTTACTATCCTGAGGAAGACCACGGGAGATGTCATAACAGTAGAAATCAGTGATTGAAACTGGAGCTGATTTCCCCTGGTATGTCCTGATCTGAACATGGCATCCTCAGGCAGCCATTGTCTTTACTCAGTACCCCTAGCAACTGGTCAGCTGTCTGAGATCATTTTTAATTAACCGTAAGGAATTCGCCTTTTTAGTTAATAGAACAGACACCAGTGGGTTTAATTGATAACATGGCCAGAACAGGTGTTTGGTTACTATTTGGACATCAGGTGCATGAATGGATCTTGGCTTGTTGGTCTGTTTTGGTAGAATAACTAAGCATGTTAAAGATCCCAACACATTTATTGAAAAGAGAAGGGGTCCTTCCCCATGTGAGTGGTTCAAACCTTACAATCTGGTGTCAGGGTTGACATCTTGGTAAGTTGATAGTCACCTGTTATGTCAATCCTTCCACTGATATGTGATAAATCTTAATAGAGAAACTGAAAAAAAAAACTCATGGAATCCATTTGTTCGATAGCTTGACCTACAGAAAAAGTGATTAGAATTTTTTTAGAAATTAGAATTATTTGAGAATTGGATTTAGGGATTTCCTTCATTAATGCCAGCTGGTGCCAATTTGCTGCCTTTGCGGAAGATTTAGGCTCCTATTGTCTTCGCTCGGGGCTCATAGCAACTGGTCAGTTGCCCAGGAAGGTGCCCAATCAACTGGAAGGGATTTTCCTTTAGATATTGGACACGGTGGGTTTGATTAGTAACATGGTAAGGACAGGTGTGGGATAATGATGGGACATCAGGTGGCTTGGAGGTTTTTTTTATCTGATGACAACTAAATCTGCTTTGAAGTGACACATAGGATCAGTGTCAGTAATGCACTGATTATATAAACATATCTGGTACATACTGTTTTGTACAGTATCATGATTGCTGTGAATACATGCTCCAGTTTTGAATTCCACTTCTTTTCCTTGTGTTGCTGTTCAGTCAACATATTGGAAGCCGACCTGCAAAGCGATTTGAATTAGAGAGCAGAGTACATGAGAATGATAATTGAAGTCATGGTCATCACTAAAGACAGCCTCAATCCTACAAACTTTGACACGTTTGACCAACTTTTATGTACAATGCATTATTTATTCTGTGACATAACTTATGAGATGTGTGCCTAGATAAAAACATGGAAGCCACAAAAACTAACGACCCAAAACAAGTCATCCCTTGGTCTATCATTTTTATGGAGGTGACCAAAATGTCTGCCCTAGGTCACTCTTTTGGCAAATAGAATCTTTGACCATCTGTCCCTCGAGATTGTGTAGTGTTTTTCAAAGTTTGCAAAACACCAAATTTGATAATGGTAAGCAAACCATATTTTAGTCTTGATAAAAATGATAAAGTCATTGTAAACATCAATGATCTAATTATGCATATGGGCCAGAAGCTCAGTAATTCCATAAATATTGTTGTAAAACGTTTTTCTTTTTTTGAAATCTCTGTTGTCCATTCAAGCAGTGCACTTAACTGTGGTCACAAGGGATGAAGTGTTCTTTGTAGTGTTGTTGTAGCCCCGCAGTAGTCAGTATAATTGGCGAGAAACATTTTCTTTGTCGGACAATAACGTTGTAAAGCCCAGGTGGTCCCCTGCATTAGTTATGACGTGAGTTACACTAAGGAGTCCCTCTAGGGAGAGCGGCAAACAATTATCGCCATGCTTTTGTCCTTTTTTAGCAATTGTTGAAGAACTCCCTCTTGCCAGACCTACGAATGACATCATTCTCGACCAGCTGAATATTTCTCTGGAGGCCCAAATTTTCCGTCTCAGTCCCTTTTCCCCCCTTGTCGCTACATTTCAATTACCGCGCAGCAATTTCAGACCGCGTTAGAAATAATCTCGTGTAAGCGGGTCTGAACGCTCCCCACGGTGTGGATGAAAGTGAACATTGTGTGCACAAATAATTGCGAAGCCGTTTTTTGTCACAAACATTTGTCTGAAGCTATTCCTAAGAGATTAAAAGGCTCTCTGTAGAATAGGCTGCTTTCAATCATGTTTGGTTCAAAAGGATTTTGTGTGGTACAAGCTTTTGTAACCCTAGTGGTGAAACGTTGTTTGCAAGAGAAATGGATGATCGTCCCATTTGGGAACTCAAGATGTGATGAAAATGTTGTAGATGTACCACCATGGCAACAATGTGTCTGTTTGGGTGACAATCTTCATGATCAGTTGCTACAAACAGGCAGGTGTGATGAGGTATTGTCTGCAATCCTCCTGGATAAAATTAGCAAGGGACAGTCATGAAAGGTACAAAATTTAAAAAGAAAGAGGGGTGTGCTATGGAAAAGATAATGTCATGAGAATGGACTGGCACAACACTAAGTGAAATATCAAGAAGAACAGAAAGCCAAGAAAGGTGGAGAAAACTGGTTTTCAAATTGTCACAGTTTTCCAACAGTCAAATAATTAGACTTTAAAGTGATAGATTGAGATGAGGAAAGGTACAGTACGGTACACATCATGTCTGATCATGAGATAAGGGGAGAGAGATTCAACTACAAGTAACAAGTCTCTGCTAAAGTCTTACAGACAAAACTTTTATCTTCAAGTTCATTAAATAGTGTTGTACATCAGGTTTTGGCTTGGCATTCAGATGAGCTATTCTTTCTCATGCATTAGAATGTTTACATGATAATTCTCTTTTACAGTGACATTATTTTCTTTACCCTCTGTTTTAAGAGCCTTTGATAATAATCAAGATTGTACGTCTTATGTCTAATGTCTGTGTTCACTTCTGTTGTCCACAGGTTACTCCACTGGGTCAGGAGAGTTTACAGGAGACAATGTGCCCGAGTACGTGGTCGGTGTTCCTCGAGGTCCAGGGTCACCCAACCACCTCAAAGGACATGTAAGTTAGAATACAATAATTATTCCATGATTGGTCCTTCAGGGGCATTACTATATAACATATTTGTACACAAAATACAAGAGGAAACATGGCTGACAGCTGTGTTTCCAGCTTTTAAACACACTTGTAAAAACATGTGTTTTGGAACCTTCACTTACTGAATGGCAGTCATTTGCAATTATGGAGTGGGGTTGCTACAATTTATTTTATGAAGTAATAATGACCCTAAAAATATACTTTATATATCATCCAACTGTTATGTAATTCTTGTTTATAATACGTACTTTATTTTTGAATCAAGTTTTCACCATATGAAATGATTTGTTTATTTAAAAATCCCTGATTCAGCACTTTTTATACATAATTCAGGTCTCTGGGTAATGATCCACGCTAGTTCTGCCACCGGGGGGCCAGATCCAATTTACCTGGGATCTGTCCTGCCATAAAATTCCATTTGTAATGCCACGGTTTGAATCATGCAGAGACCAAAAAATGACAAGGAATTGGATCAGACGCTGAATGTGTGAACATTTCTGTCATCTTAGCTCCATAAATGTCTGTAAAAGGATGTTATGTCATTTGAGAGAAGCTGTAAAGTGGTGCAATTTTGCAGTTTTATGGAAGAATTCATCAAACATTGCAATATAGGGAGGAATTGCTTTTCAAGCTTAAAGGATTTAAATTCTTTGGGAATGCATAGGAAGAAACCTTTATGTTACTCATTTTTATAAATCTTTTCTTAGTCTATTGGGTACCTGTATCTGTATCTGTATACATGTAGCTGGTTTAACCGCCTTTCGGCGTAACACACCAGCACAATGTACCTTGAAATTCCTGAATAATTGTGTTCCCAAATATGAAACACAAGAGTACAAATTTACCACAGACTGCAATATTGCACTAGACACCTCAAAATACATGTAATCTTGTCAATGTTATTCATTGTCTCTTCCAATTTCATTCTTGGAAAGAGTTAAATCTTGGAACGAGAATGAAATACTAACTAACTATAAGAGACCAGGTAGAATCCCTTAAAATTTTTCTCAATGTCTCACACTGTCCCTGCACAGTCTGGTTCTTTTGGGAATAACTGACTGAAATGATGAAACGTTTCTATGATCATGGTGATCAGCATTTCCCTGTTAATGGCCATCCATGTTAGATTCCTTCACACCATCCTCTCATATTGATCGGTCATCAAATCATCAGCGTAAGGTCAGAGGTCGGTGTAGTGTGACAGCGAATGATCTAGCCCGATGGTTTAGGACCACTGGACCATAGAAGTGGTCCTCGTTCATTCTCCATATCTGGGTCAAACATGCAGTTCAAACCAGCAAATATAAAAGGAATTAAAGCAATCTAGGAAGGAAAGTAAACAAAAACGAGAGAAAAAAAGTTACTTCAAGCCATGGTTGGTTTTGTAAGGCAAGCTAAATAGGATTCGTGTGAATCTTCATTTTCAAAAGTATGAATTAAAACACAACAATTGACTTAATTTTCACTTTGATTGTCTGAAAAAAAGATAGTAATAAGTGGTTGTAGCTTCATTTAGTTTGAAAAAAGTAATCCATCTTGGTTTGTCAAAGTGACTACATACATGTAGGGTGCAATAAAGCCATTATCAATTCTTCTTCCAACAAGTGGTTAGTTTAGAGAGTGATATATTAATTATGAAAGTTTATGAATATAGACTGGTGGGTTTATTCTCGGAACTACTGTAAAAAATAACGAGCCTTGAAATTGGAGCTCAGTCTCATTTGCATAATATGAGGAGTTATGAATTTTTTATCACATTTTTGAGCCATAACTCGTTAAAGAAATATGTAATTTTATATGTAAGTAAAGGAACAAGAATTGGGTTTGTGACCTATGATCGCTAAATGCAACTTCAATGGGGGGCAACTACATGTATATAGACTACCAGATCCTTTTTGTTTGGTATGTTTCTATTTTGAGCTGTCTTTTTAGAATCTGATACAAAAATTTGGACATACACGTGTACAGTAATTAGCCCAATCGCCAAGCTAAGGACCAGTAGCATCTTTTAAGTTAACCATAGTTTTTTCCGTCCAGATTTCTTCAAAGATTAATCAATTATTACATAATACTCAAAATATGATGATACGTGTGATGCACAATTCATATTCTTGAACTCTTTGCTTGAATGTTATATTGTCATTCTAACGAAAAGAAAATCATAGAAATTTTATGATATGACAAATGTGTACACAGCAAATTACACATAAGAGTGCTCAGACGTATTCTTTTACCTTCTGTTTTGCTCCCTAGTCATATCATCATGCCACACATTCCATGCTGTCATCTAATTAGGTGGTAATCAGTGAATAGAGCTGAGGTATGCATATCGCAGCGCTCAGGGCCAATTTGGCATCTCCCAGCGGATTACTTGCGTTCCTTGACGCGGATATTAACAGTCGCAAAGTCCCTTATCTTTGATTACCCCCTGTGTGGGGGAATGTGGAAGTGTCATCCCAGATTTCTCTGCCGGTATAAAACATGTAGATTTCTACAGCACCGGGGAATTGTAAACGCATAAAGCGAAATGCTAAAACTGCCTTTTCTGCATATACCTAACGTAATAACCCCAATTTTGTCAAGACAGAAACAAGGTGAAACTTTTGCAGGAATGTGAGTTTATTACTTTGATTGACCACATGTAAGAAACTTACGCATATAACAATTTATTTTAGTGGATTGAAGAATTTGAAAATCTGGAGGCATTGTGACGTCTTTCTTTTCATTTCAGGTGTCCATCTATGACAGTAACCTTGCTGTGCTGCAGGCTATGCCTGAGAAAACTGCTCTCATTGGAGAACAGGTGAAAC